AATTGGCAACAATATGCATTTAAGGGTTAATAACTTGTATTATCAAGCACCATACCGCAGATTTATCTTTTCCAAATAGTTTAGTTTAATAGAAATATTGAAAATATTTCTGATCGACTAATTGAAAGTGATTCGAATCAAATCATGGCAACGAACCCTAGTATTGATCGCGCACTGATCCATTCCTGACCTTTCCGTCGGGACCGTGAATAAATCGTGGTGACTATCTACCCTAAGCAATACAATTTCATTCATTTGTATCGCAATACAAATAACAAATATTTTTTTTACGCTTTATTTCTGTTTATGTCGTTGCTATTCACTAACTTATACGTAGGGCAGAGGAACCGATTACTGTGGGGAGACTAATTGCTTTGCCCTTGTTTCGTTTTCGAGCATAATTTAGTTTATATTTATCGTGCATAAGATGTATTCAATCTTTTTATTCTTCTGTTCGCTTTTCAATACAAATATTTAATATGTCTCGTTCGATAAATACGAAGTTAACACGTTCCCTGCCAGACTGTTTTTTGAAGACTTTCCGTTCAAGCCGCGTGGGGCGTATGCGCCCCACGCTTTACATTTGTATTATTTTGTTTCTGGCGTATGCTTTACAATAATTAAAATAGTGCAAAAATCATAATTATCAAGGAAAGGTTGTATAGTTTAACATGCATAACACAGCAAACCAATAAATTTATTTTTCTAGGAATTACTTTAACAAATACCTGGCTGATCATTATTATGCCAAGCGAGTTGCATCCTCACATATAATTTTTTTTATCATGCCTATATTAGTTTAAAATATAACATTTTAGTTAAATTCAAGTTTGTATGCGATTACAAAGGGATGTTACGATGAACTTTGTTAAAACATGGCAAACATAAGTGTGGTTTATCCACACAACTATCGCAGAATGTTACAACTTTTACAGTACTATAGAACTTTAAATCAATCCCAGCTTCAGTGAAGCAGTAAGTATTGTGTCAACGACACGCGAATAAATGACTGATCGGAATAAGAGAAATGCAGTTAAAACAAGTTACAGTAAAGAAAAACTGCCCATCACGCCGCGTGGGGCGTATACGCCCCACGCGGCGTGATGGGCAGTTTTTCTTTACTGTAACTTGTTTTAACTGCATTTCTCTTATTCCGATCAGTCATTTATTCTGTCTCTTATACACATCTAGATGTGTATAAGAGACAGAATAAATGACTGATCGGAATAAGAGAAATGCAGTTAAAACAAGTTACAGTAAAGAAAAACTGCCCATCACGCCGCGTGGGGCGTATACGCCCCACGCGGCAGGGAACGTGTTAATTATGCCGGATAACGAAACAAAGGCACAGCAATTGCCTTTGCCGTCTTCGCCCACATCTCACTGATTTTCCTATCAACCCTTCAAACACTCTATAGTTTTCTATTTTTTAGTTATTTTTGTGCAGCCAAGTTTGAAGCATTACATTTAAAATTTCTGGTATAAATATTTATTTAAGGCTTTCGCATGCATTCTTGTATTCACAAGCATGTAACGAAGTCGTTGCGGAACGATGAAATTAATTAAACTTATTACATGTAGATATAACACGATGACTACCGAGCGACTATCCTAAAAAAGTTCCGTAAAATCAAAATAATTCAGTTAACGAGTCCAAAACAGCAGAGATAAAATTAACTCTGACATCGGAGCCTGGCGGACTCTACTGTAAATATCATTGCTTATTAATGCGTTTTTTAAATCGTAAGTTTAAGTTCGCTATGCGTAACATTCAAATATTTTGCAATAAAAGTATGCAATACATGTCATATTTAATCTCTATGTAAAAATTAATATTATATTCAGTTTATAAACAATATATTTTAGCGAGACAAACTCCGTCTCCGCATCGTTGCTGCAGATTTGGATGTACGCGGTTAAGAGGGTTAATTCTTCTAGATTTTGTAAAATCGATTGAAATTCGTTGAGTAAATATATTATGAGAGGAAAAGAATTTTTTGAAGCTGCATAATACAGTGGAATCTCTATCCTCGAACCTTCGATGTTAAAATTCTCTATTATCCAAAAGTGTTTTATGCGTATAAAAGATATAGGGCGATCTATTGTATCTATAAATCACTAAATATTTATTCTAATTTTGTAACTAAATAACTGTTTCATTAACAGAACATCTTTTCTTCCGTTATTTGATTTGAACAACTGAATAGGCTCCACTGGATTTTAATCGAAGAGACTAGAGATAAATAAGAAAACTTTCATAGAAAGAGAAAGAAAGAAGGATGTTGCAAAATAATAATAAATAACTGTTTCATTAACAGAACATCTTTTCTTCCATTATTTGATTTGAACAACTGAATAGGCTCCACTGGATTTTAATCGAAGAGAATACAGATAAATAAGAAAACGTTCATAGAAAGAGAAAGAAAGAAGGATGTTGCACCGTTGATTATTCGGTCGACGAGCAAATTTTGGAGCAAGGTTCGCGTTCGAGTGTATCCAGAGCGGCAGATAAAGAATATCTGGAGCATGAGACGCGCCGCGGCGCGCCGTTGGAAACGTATGTTCGTTAAATTTATGCTATTGAAATTCGCGATAAAAGTCAGCGAGATATGCTTTCCGGTCGTCGGAACAGCGATCCGCCATCGCGGAACGAAGAGAATCTACGACCCTACCCGAAGAAACACCGTAATGCCGCGGAGCGTCGGCAAGGAAACGGGTTGTCCTTGATCGAATCAATCTAACCTAATTATCTCCATGAAAATCCAATCTCTTTTTATTACGCCCGTTTAATATTCATGGGTCCCCAATGGTTAATTATTCGACACGATGAACGGTTAATTTGGACGAAATCGAACGAAAAGTGCGGATTAATTAGGTGATTCGATTGTGGCCGGCGAGGTACCGCCGGAATCAATATTTTTGCTACCGTTGCGATTTTTATACCTTCCGACTACCATCAGAATAATTTTAGAATAATCTTTGTTACTACTAAAGATTATTTAAATTGCAATCTAGCGTCATTAATTGAACATGTTTGCAGGTTGTTGGGCCCAATAAAACCTATCAGCGATCAACGATTTCAGTTATTTTGCGATTAGGTTGTATTCAAAATACGTTCTATAAATAGCGCACTATTCATCGATTCCCTCGAATCGTCGACGAATCGCCAACGAAGCAGAGCAAACAGTCGATAAGATTTGTTGCTAGTTCTCATCGTACTCGTTCCGATAGTCCTGTATCGTTTAAATTTCGTATTCGCATTAAAGGAAGGACCGATTTTTATTTAATCAAGCGTTCAGCGCTTTTCGAATGGAGGTATTGAAAATGGACTGGAAGAATCGATGAATTTTTATCGAATGTTCGACGAAACGATAGAAAGTAAACGAAAAATCTCTACATTCCGGCGATCGAAGACCCAGTTGTCCTGTTTCTGCCGACGGTACGCGGGAAACGTTACAGACTTGTCAATTCGCGACACATTTAGGGTCTTCCAAATAAATATAACAAAATCTTTGATATCATATGAGCCATTTATTTTGAAAGTGGCATAAGTGACTTTTTCAAAAAAGTCAAGTTAATGGTAACTCTAATTACAATTGAACGGTATCTTTCCATTTAAAAAAAATTTGCAATCAATAAGTTGAGAACTATTGAGATTTGTTCGAGAGAAGTTTTGCTAATTAACGGTATAACAAACATGTTTATTTTGAAAGTGGCGTAAGTCGCTGTACTCGGGAAATTAATTGCGGGGCTTAGTGTAAAAGAAATAGAAACGTGTGATAAGTGTGTGTGAAGTATTGTTTTGAATTGTTTTCAGTATTTTTAAAAAAGTTGTGATCACTGGAACTTATTTTTATAAGTGCGAAAGAATAGTGCAGTTTTGTAAATTATATTATAGTGATGTGGCGGCTACCTCCAGACCCGCCAGCAGATGGCTATAAAATGTTTGATGAACTAACTTTAGATGAAAAAGATGAATTTCTAACTTTGGATTTGATGCCAAAAAGAGGAAGACCTAGGCGTTATTCACAAATAGAAATGGATTCGTTATACGCTGGATCTCGTCCTGTTTCTTCAGCAAAATACAAAGACATGATGGACTTGCTTAATTATATACCCCCAATATACCACGGTTATTTAAAAAATTTGAAACAAAACACGATTTCCGAGGACTTAATCACTCCTATCGATGACGAAAATTAAATTGAACTGATGTATTTTCATATAAATTACTTATACTTATGTTTCAAAGTGTACTAATTATTTTTGTATATTTTATGAATATTAAAATAAAAAATACTGAAATCAAACCTTTATATTAAATATGTTCATGGTATAAATTATTATTATATATGTAATTTATTCAACAGTTTTAGTAAATCACTGTCCTTTCAAAACATCACTTCGGTAAAATACGTCGGACAAAATGAATATATGTCAGTCATTTTTCTAAACTATTTATTTTGGAAGTGGCTCAAGTCACTTTACCGTAATGGTGGTGATTTTTTAATGTTTATACGAAATTATTTATACTGAGAAAAATATCAGTATCCTGAGATAACAAATACAAGTAAATCTTCTCGAAAGTTAGCATCCATATTTTTAAACGTGTTAAAGCGCAAACCCTTAAATATATCGACTTAAAAATAAAGTGACTTATGCCACTTTCAAAATAATCGGCTCATTTGATTCCATTACGAACGAGATTGCTACAAAAACGAACTCCACCCCCGAGTGTCGTCCTCGAATAAATCGTTCGGTTCCATTCGCACTCCATCGTCGCTCATTTTGACCAAAACCGAAGCGAAACTGAAGCGGACATATTTTTTACTCTACCAAGACCCGAAGATCGTTCCAACGAAACTACAAAATATTCCAAAACGAGTCAGAAGTTGCCGCCGCGACCACGACACGCGGGGGGTTTGCAAAACCGCGGAAAACGAAACCGCGGAAAGAAACGAACGATGGGATATGATCGCGGGCAAGCAAGAAGAACGAACCTCTGTTGTCTTGATCGTAGCACCATGGATGATCCTCCATCTTTCCCGCTCGTGCGATAGGCGCCGCGTCGCACGGGGATGACCGGCGGGAGCGTCAAAATCGTGGCGAAAACGCGTCGTCGACCGAACTCGTACTGTAGGATCCGCGAAAAAGCTGTACGCGCGGGGGGGGGGGTGATGCAGGGATCAGGGGAAGAGGAGGAGGCCTAGAGGGCGGTGGGAGGTGGGAGGGTGGCCGGGTGGTTGAGCGAGTAGGGAGGTCGTCGAAGGAATAAGAGGGCGGACGGGGCTCTCGGGTTACGGTGGCGAAAGTGGTGCGGGACCGGAGAAGAAAGCGTCGTAGTCGCGTCGTGACGCGTTGCGTCGGGGTCGCGGGACGCGTGACGCGCGCGATAGGTGTCAAACGCGTGGCGGACAGACAGTTGACATGACATGGGAGAGCAGCGCGAAGCGACGCGGCGGGACGCGGCCGTCGGGACGTCGTCGTCGCGTCGTCGTCGTCGTCCGCGGGCGTCGTTGTCGGCCGTCCGGCGGAATTGCGCAAGCGGTTCGGTGCGCGGGTTTGGCTCGGTTCGCAGCTGCGCCGTTCGCCCTCGGCGAGGAAAGCCCGATCCAGCGAGGCATTATCGCGCCACCGATTCACGCGATACGAAGGGGCCGCGTACCGAAACCCCAGACCTAACTCACGGCCACGCTTCGCCGATTGGTCGGCCATCGGCGGCGGTGGAAACGGTCGGCTGAGGGTTGGCCGACGGCGCGGCTGGGGCGTGGCCGGGGGGCCAGGTAGTGGGATGTGTTTGAACAAGATCGGGAGACTCAAGAGTAGCGGAGTACACTCGCTAACCGGCCTCCATCCACACGGCACACAGAGAGACAGACTGGTGAATGAGGGAGAGTGGAGGTGAGGCGGCTCAAACAGGCCCCACTCAAACAACTGCTCTTGTGTGTTCAAGCCCGTGGCGAGCGAGAGACCCGCGCTACGATCAGCGCCGCGTACACTGCCTTCGTAGTCTAGCCGCGTCGCGTTGTTGAACCAACGGAGATCAACCGTTGATCCGATCGAGTGGCCGGTTGATTTCACCACCGGGGACGGACCATCGGTAGTGAAATTCTCTCACCTAGGCCGAGACGTGACGTTTTGTCGTCGCCTTCCGCCGCCGCCGCCGCCGCGTCGGAGAATTCAGTGCTCGGAGGGATAATCCTTGGTGTATGCTATATTGTGCGTTTCCGCGGTCCTGGAACGGTGTTACGTTCCGCATTCGATAACTGATTCAGTGAAGTTTTGGTGGAATTTGAACATTGGGGCTGATTGTTGTTTCCTCAAGCAGAGGGAGAAGTGATTATTTATACGCAGTTCCGGCCCGATTTGTCGCAGCTGGACGAAACAGGGGGAAGAAGAGAACTAAAGAAAGAAAGAGAGAGAGAGAGAGAGAGAGAGCGAGAGAGAGAGAGAGCGAGAGAAATAGAAAGAGCGAAAGAGAGAGAGAGAGAGAGAGAGAGCGAGAGAGAGAGAGAGCGAGAGAAATAGAAAGAGCGAAAGAGAGAGAGAGAGAGAGAGAGAGCGAGAGAGAGAGAGAGCGAGAGAAATAGAAAGAGCGAAAGAGAGAGAGAGAGAGAGAGAGAGCGAGAGAGAGAGAGAGCGAGAGAAATAGAAAGAGCGAAAGAGAGAGAGAGAGAGAGAGAGAGCGAGAGAGAGAGAGAGCGAGAGAAATAGAAAGAGCGAAAGAGAGAGAGAGAGAGAGAAAGAAAGAAAGAGCGAGAGAGAGAGAGAGTGAGAAGGAGAAAGATTCAGTGAAAAACCAGTGCCGGGTACGGTGATAGGATTGCGCCGACAGAGGAGAAGATTAAGGGATCGTCGCATTATCAGCAGCCGTGGTACCGAGGCTTTCATGATTCTTGTTTGACGAGCAGACAGCAGTCTGCCATCCCGGCTCCGGTGAGCTCTATGACCATGCTCCAGTCGCAGAAGCTGTACGGCGACGCTGGTAGCCTCGGCGGGGCGATGACCAGCGCCGCGATGTCCCATATGGGCAGCATGGCGCCGACGTACAGCTCGGTCGGCTGCATGCCGATGGGTATGTCGATGGGCGTCGGGGTCGGGCCGAGCTGCAGCCCGCAGGGTGCCGGCGGCTTCAACATGAGCTCCGTCAGCTCGGCCATGGGGATGGCCTCGATGGGTGGCGGTAGCATGAGCGGGTACGGAGCGACGTCGATGGGCAGCAGCGGCGCGTGCATGGGTGCCGTCGCGTACGGCCCTTTGACACCGGCCAGCAACGCGGTGGTCAGCAGGGACCCGTTGTCGCTGACCGAGCCGGACTCGCCGAACTCTACTTTACAACGCGCCAGAACCGACAAGTCTTACCGTAGAGCGTACACGCACGCGAAACCACCGTACTCCTACATCAGCCTGATCACCATGGCGATACAGAACGCGCCGTCGAAGATGCTCACGCTGTCCGAGATCTATCAGTTCATCATGGACCTGTTCCCATTCTACAGACAGAACCAGCAACGCTGGCAGAACTCCATCAGGCACTCGTTAAGTTTCAACGACTGCTTCGTGAAAGTTCCCCGCACGCCGGACAAGCCCGGGAAAGGCTCGTTCTGGACGTTGCACCCGGAGAGCGGGAACATGTTCGAGAACGGTTGCTATCTGCGCCGGCAGAAAAGGTTCAAGGACGAGAAGAAGGAGCTGACGAGGCAGACCAACAAGCACCAGCAACACCAGCAACATCACATCGGCATCACAACCGCGGTGACCACCGCGGAGCACAGCAGCCCGCCGGTCCGAGCGCCAGCGGCTGGCAGAACACCGACGTCCCTGCACCACGGGAATCAGCAGCAGGAGGACAAGGACCAGCACTCGTTGGTGTCCTCGCATCATCATCATCACGCCGCGAGCCTTCACCAGCATCACGCCGGCCTGAAAAGCGACACGACGGACATGGGCGGCCTCCTCGGGACGGACCTGGGCGTAGCGCACGACGAGCTTACCGCCATGGTCAGCAGAAGTCTCCATCCCCATCTGATCCCCGACACCTCCGCTCTGCATCACGGGATGACCGGTAGCCTGAAGCAGGAGCCACCTTACACCGCTGCCAGCCATCCGTTCAGCATCACCAGGTTACTACCCGGCGCCACGGCCGGCACATCCCCCGGCGCGCAGGACACCAAGCCGCCCGAGATGAAGATGTACGAGCAGCTTCACCAGAGTTACGCGAACTTCGGCTCCTCGCATCATCCGCACGCACACTCCGCGCCGCCCAGCCATCACCATCACAACGGTATGCACACGGGCTCGAACGCTGCCGGGCCCATGCACAACATGACCAACCATCATCATCAGGAGTATTATCAGAGCCCGCTCTATCATCACGCGACCAGCGTGGCGAGCAGTAGCGCGCCTCCGCCGCCCACCGTCGCCAGCGCCGCTCCAGGATTGTGACACCACGCTACCCACCCTTATGCCTTGGCCTGAGCCGCTGCTGCTGCGGCCTATGCCGCCAACGCGACCATCGTACCGTCGACCACGGCCAACCTTGCTCACCACCACCATTACCGTCATCACCAGCATCCGTCGTCGTCGTCGTCGTCCTCGGCCTCCTCGCCGTCGTCGTCGTTGCTCTCCTGCCCGCCGACCACGCAATCGTCCGTCGCGCACGACACCCCGGCCTCCGTCAGGCCCGTCGTCGGCCAACGACGCCGGCGTCGCTGCGACGAGAACCCCGCGGAGCCGTCCTGCCGTCACATCAACGAGGACGATTACGACGACGAAGAGGAGGACGACGAGGAGGAGGAGGACATCGTGTGAAGCCGGGAACGACGACGCGGCGCACGGACTCCGTCGAGGTACGAGTATGGTTCGCCTAACCACGGCGAACGTCTCGCGAGTGTCGAGTTTCGTTTGTTGGCCGAGCATCGACGTGTTATTCGAGTTGGCTGCCCAGGGCGTCGCGGCGCTAGCCAGCCGTATACGCGTAGGTATAGTATTGTACGATAGTAATGGATCCACCGGGATGTTCACGCGAGTTCACGGTTTCGTGTGTAATAATTACTTTCGGACCACCGTGTCGTGCATGCGGCGGAAACGTGCGACAACACGAATGTCAGGAAATCTCCGGCGAGACTTCCCGAACTATCTCGTTACGGTGTCAAGGATTCGGAATATCCAGGGATCGAAGGAGGATTTCTCTGTTAGTTCTTTTTGCAATACTTGCTTTCGAAAGTATTCTGTTCTCGTATAAGTACAGAAGAAGTTCTCTTTCTATAATGAGAATGTTGTTCGTCGATGAATAATATTTCAAGAATATTACATTGTTGCTACGGTTCATTTTAACCTTTTAGGCACGACGCGCCACTATAGTGGCTTACTCTAGTAGCTCACTCGATCATCGTTTGAATCAAATAATCGTCTTCGCGTGCATTGTTTCACATTTCTGTTGTCTTCACACCGATTTACGATATACAGACTTATCTTAACAATATAACTGTTAACAATATAACTGTATTGCCTCGCGCAGAATTCAGCCGTACCTAAAAGGTTAAATTATGAACGTGCTACTTATTTGTATTATTTTCTCTAAATAGCTCGGTTTCATAGAGCTTTTGTCGAACAGATTCCAAAGTATTTGTTCCACGAGAACACTTTTGAAAAAATCCTCCAAGGCTAACATCTTTCTCATCATAAAAATTCGAATATTTTCTTAAACCTTCGCACTCGAGTGGCGACTCGGAAAATATTGCTAAAAATTGCCACGCTAATTCCAAAAGAATCTTCACGCTATCAAATCCGTCTTCGTTCGATAAATCGTCGAACAACAGAAGTCTTAGAAGCACACGTGTTCAATTTCAGACGCGTCAAATAAAAACGCGATCGCGTATGAAATGGAAATGCTGTAGGTTGAAACGAATATCTTCATTTCGCAGTAAAAACAGTCTCGAGTGCGGAAGGTTGAATGCAGAATTTTTTAATCGCGTATTCACTTCGATCCCTGGCGGACACCCTCGTCCTTCGCATCTCGGGACGAAGTTTGTCGAAGTTCGTCGAATACAGAAATATTTCTAGGAGTCTGAATCGTTATTTATAAATTCTCGCTAGAAAATAGATTCTTGTTCGAAACGACAGGCAGAAAAATGATCGAGCACGAGGACCGTCTCAATTTTAGCGCGGTATTTCGAGAACCTCGCCGCGAGTCCTGACGTCGCCAGATACTTCCGGGACCTAACTCGATCCGTCGCGAGCAGCCGCCGAGATTTCGGGATGTTCGCGCACCCCGCCACGCGAAATCCATTTTTGAATTCTTCGTTGCCCGAAGAATATTGTCCACCTTGTTTATGCGAACGCGTGAGCATCGGCTGTCCGGCTAGCGGAGTTACGTACTCGCGGCGATGTATCGTCGTCTGAGACGCAGCCGTGAGTCGGGGACGCGTAGTAGCGCTCGGAGACCGCTCGAAGAAGCAAGTTACGTCTTGCTTCCTGAAATTTCGAGTAGCCCGAATCTCGAAGTATCCTGTATCCACGTTTTCGCTTGCTTTCCATTGAAAGAATCGTCCGCGAACGAGAGCGTTCCATGCCGTTCTCTTCTTTCCGGCAGCGCCGAAGTTTCGACATCGAAGCAGCGGCTGGCTTGAAAGCCTGCCGGAAACAGCCCTCGAAAGCCTGGTCTCGAACATTCGAAAAATTGCAAATTTGCGGGAGCACGTTAGTGAAAATTCGTAGTAATATTTTAACCTTTCCGTTATATATAATCGAGGAGAGTCGCGCGAAATCGGAGGCTGTGACGCAAGACCCGAGGCGATCTATTTCAGGGCTGCCGGCTTCGAGCGACTCGCTTCTGGCGCCGTGTAGCCTCTTTGATAGCGTCGCGAGGCAAGGCGCGGTTTGAACATGAAAAAAGTAAAGGTAATCGGCACGATCGAGCGCCGGCTTAAGTGTCTGACTCACGGTCGCGCGCAGATACGAGCGCGAATCTAGAGGGAGAGGAAACGAGGAATGTCGGCTGGAGACGCGTGGCGATCGACTGACGACGACGACGTAGATGACGACGACGTAGATGACGACGACGACGATGTTCTCCAGGTTTCTCGGACTCGCGGCGCGTAGCGACGATTTCCCCGACGCGCGTCAGTTTTCTGTGATACGCGACAACGATGCACGAGGCGATTCTGAGTAGACTCGCGGACTCAACCCGGCGGAGTCCGCCCTCGTTTTCCGTTTTCGTTTCGGTTCCCGTCCCGTTCCATTCTGTTCTGTTCTTCGTTTCGATCTCGTCGTTTTCTCCTCGCGATTTCCATCCTGCGACGGGGATGGAAGTCGGCCGGATCTAGGACGGGAAACTTCGGGATGCGAGCACGCGATCTTCTTCCAGTTTTTCTCTCGAGTCTCCGACCGGTGCGCCTCTTTCTTTTTTCTTCCCGGGCCGCGAGGATGAGCTCGTTAGGGGAGAATCGTGTCGGAAGTTGGATATTTCGGCCGCTGATGGAGTTTGAATAGGATCGACCTGTATCGAGAGCGTCGATCTCTTTTCGAGCGGAATTTTCTTCCTTTTTCTCGGTCTTCGAGAGATCGTTAACGCCCCGAGGAACCGGGAGCCATTCGCCAAGTCGGAGAGCAGCGAGGATTTCAAAAGAGAAATTCGCAGTGTGCATTGATCGCGATAGCTCGTTTAGAGACCGGGCTAATTATCGGGACCCGGAAGACGTTCTTCTCTGTTTAATCGCTTTCTTAAGACGATCGTAATTCGGCGGTTGACTCGGTGCTGCGATGTTTAAAGAGAGCTCGAGGTTGAGATATTTCCGAGTCGGAGAATTTGTGTCGCAAGAGGAATTCTTATTTGATATATCCCGCCTTTTGAGGTGCACTTTTAGCTGAAATATTTGATTTTAGGGGAAGATATTTATCAAAATCGGTCTCTAATCGATACAAGCTATGTTTATGGACATTTTTGGACATATTTGTGTTATTTAAAGTAACTTTGACAACTATTATTTTTAGATATGACTTCTATCGTTTTATACACGTTTCGAGGAAGCTTTCACCGAGACTTTGATCAGTTCTGATTGTATTGGGTTGTCCGGAAAGTTCGTGCCGATTTTTTAGGAAAATTAAAACGCAGCTCATTTCAATATTGGTATACATTTATTAAATTATATAGGTACCATTCTGTTCCACAACCTTTCTTCATCTTTCATGCAGCTTGAGAATTCCGTCCTTCCAGAACCTTTCAGATTTTTCGGCAAAAAAATTTGTCGTTCTTGATCTTTAACACGTTCCGTGCCACGTGTACCATCGATGGTACACGCTTGCATGTTTACTTAGTGAACTGAACAAATTGTTTACAAGAAATTTAGAACCAAAGAATCAATTTCCACCGCAAGAATGGGCGTTGATAAGTTTTTATTACGTTGTTATGTGTACGNTTCCGTGCCACGTGTACCATCGATGGTACACGCTTGCATGTTTACTTAGTGAACTGAACAAATTGTTTACAAGAAATTTAGAACCGAAGAATCAATTTCCACCGCAAGAATGGGCGTTGATAAGTTTTTGTTACGTTGTTATGTGTACGAGAATTAATAATTGCACGTAATACATCAAGTTTTAGTAAAATATCAAAGTGTGAAGATTCGAGTAAAAAAAGCTCGGCACGGAACGTGTTAAGGTCGAAATTTCGAGTTTTAAACCGAGCAAACCACTTCCGCACAGTTCTTTCGGCTACAGCATCCCTGCCATAATCAGCGCATATCTTATTTGCCGCTTGCGTGGCATTTTTGCCCTTTCGGAAAAAGAAAAGCATTAAATGCCTATAATGCACTTTATTTGCCACCATATTCTAAGGCGTACGAAACTGATCAAAATTAACGAATCGTAACCAAACTTTTTTCCAAATATGGCCGAAGTTATCTCTTTTAGAATATGTACACATGTCATTTGTTTTTTTTTCGCCCTCTAGCCTAACACGCTGCACAATTGCTGTCGTGTGGCATTTTGGGGGCAAAGCAAACCACAATACTCCTTACTCGGACGCGGAGTTAAGACTGGGTCTTCCGTACCCGGCCTAATGACCGATAAGAGAAGGCGTCGGTTTACCCACGTTCTGACCCCTCGTAGGCGTTCCGTCGGGGGGTAGGTACTAAATTTCTTGTGTATGCCAGACCTGGCGAGGAAACATATCTGCGCCACTTTCGCGGTGGCCAGATTTACAATAAATGTCATTTGTTTTCAATAATTGTGATATATTCAGTCAGGTCTCTCGCACGCTACCTACCGAAAATCGGCACGAACTTTCCGGACAACCCAATAGTATCTATCCGAGGGAATGAATTTTTAACGTTAACAATGCGATAGTCTCGCAAATATTAGGGCCTGGTACTTTGAAAAGAAAGTGTTAGGTTAGTTTAAATGTTCGATTCTACAGAAATAAAATGTAGAAATCGTTGAACTTGAATTTTGATCAATTTTTCTGGGTTCGTAGAACAGTGTCAGATATTTAACAGTCGCAGATATTTAATTGTTCTGGTTACACAGAGTTTAATTAACCCCTTAAAGCGCAGAAACGTATTAACACGGGCGTGCAAAACCGGCCAAAATGTGCAGACCCGTATATATACGGTCGGCGTCGCAACTTATGTCGCTAAAATGTTCAGATTCGAATATATGAAAAACAGTACGATGGGTACAAAATTCGATCTGCAATGCGATTCAATATTCACTATAATTATTTATCCACTATTTTTATTAAATTTTTAGTAATTTTTGCATTTTTTAAAATATTTATTGAAATTAAGGTCCAAATATGTATTTTCTTCGATAAAAAAAATTGATTTTTTTTGGTCGGTTTTTTTTTGTAAAATTGTGCATTAAGGGGTTAAACGACCGACGTCAAAATTTGATCTTTCGCGAATTTCATTTCATTTTTGGATTCGAGTGGTCGATGATACGACTGACTCAAAGACCGTAGAGTTTACGACTTACAAAAGCAATCTATACTCTATCATTATTTTACAATCTTTAGTCTATTTGTGCATAGTTTTGCCAATAGCGGAACTCGTGCGGGCAATGCGCGAGACGTTAAACACCGTAGCCGTGTCGTAACCGTATATTCAGCCATTTCATATATTAAACGGAGGTAAATTTTCTTAATTACTTATAGATTAGAAATGTTCCATAATCGCCGCGAACACGACGATGAAAAATCACCGGAGAATGTAGTGATTGAAATTTCCGACATGTCGCAATTCCATTTGCGCGTGATTCGCAGCATTTCACTTGAGTCTCCGACGCACGTTTTTTTCGGCTTTCATCGGCCGAACGATTTGCAACGTTTCCTCGACTTCGCGACGTTCGATTTGTTTAACTTTGTTTTCGCGTCTGATTATTCATTGTGACATGTACCTACGAAATCATTTCTGCCGGAATCCTTTTTAACGCCACACGGCGATTGACTTCAAAGATCGAATCTCGGAGGCGGTTTTTTCTCTTTTCAAGCTCGAGACGACAGCTAACAATTCTACGCGCGCGTTTATGTCTGCCACTCCGACAAGCTCGAGAATGTTTTAGGCACTTCTTGCCCCTGGAATCAAGCGAATCGATCGATAGTCAATCAAAGCTCGCCTAATCACGGTAACGTTCACGCAGATACGGAATTCGCGTTCGAAACGGGAACGGATTAGCAACAACAGTCTCTCGCGACTCGTTTGGCAGATCGAAGAGAACTAATATCAATTTCGCAGACTGCGATCTAGAGTGTCGCGTTCTGCTTGTCCACCAACGATTGTCGCGGTAGTTTCTGACTCACGATTGTATGCCGTCTGCAGGAAAGAAAAAGCGTCGACAATCGTCTAACAAGTATGTTTATCGACGCGTTAGATTGATACTAGAAGCCGATAGCAAACGTCTTTTTAGGATTATCTGTGTTTCCCGACGCATGCTTCTTTCACCGGTCGTTGATCTCGATCGGTATGCGTCTCCTCTCGCGTCGGCTCGTTATCGCCGAGCGTGCAATTATTCGCGCGGTTTACATTGAACAAGTTGGCCGGTGCTACAATTAGGCTTTATCGGGATCCCGCCGATAAGCCGAAATCGGTGGGCCCGCACCAATTCTTCCTCATTCTTCTCGAGGATGCGATTTCGTCCCGATCGATCTTTCATCGTACAACGTTTCTTCTGTTTCCACGCTTTCCAGCAAACGCGTTCCTCGTGCTCTGCAAAGCGTGCTTCCGAAGCGACGAAAGAAATCGATTCGAATCTGTTCCTAACTGGATTTTCATCTCAGCCCATGAGAGACCGACAATTTCCTGTTTCGTGCAACGAATGCGAATTTTTTGTTTAACTATCTTTTAAGGCTGCAAGGCTGATCTACGGTACTAAGATATGGAAGTTCGGCTTGCTTTAATTCAGCCTATTATTTTGAAAGCGGCATAAGTCACTTTAATATCAGTATCCTGAGATAACAAATACAAGTAAGTCTTCTCGAAAGTTGGCATCCATATTTTTAAACGTGTTAAAACACAAATCACTAAATACTAGGGGTACCGGAAAGTAATGTCGTTTCCGGTCTCCCTAATATATTGACTTCAAAACAAAGCGACTTATGCCACATTCAAAATAGACGGCTCAATTACCGTCTAAATGGAAGGAAATTGCTTCGGCTGGAACTCTATAGCTGTCCTCGGAGACTAATTTGATTTTTTCGGTCGTCTTAAGAGCACGCTGAAATCGAGAATTTTCTAATCCAGTTTCTCTTTACCAAATTCTGTTGGCTCTCGGATTTTATTATCCGACTCCACCGACGATTCTTCTTCACTGTCGAATTTTACTATCGAAATGCGATCTGAACTGAAAATCGAAACGATATTACACCTTCGATGGTTCGGACGATTCTTTCATAATCACGATTATAGAGTTTTCCGAATGCTAGTTTAAACAAACTGCTGGATACATTGTTAAACTTTACGGTCGTTCGTCAAGAAATGGCGGATAATACAGCACCGATTTTATGTTGTGTTTGAGACAGCGTATCGGCTATCGGCGGTGTTTTGTTATTGTTTGCAGCCTTTCGTTTTTGTTGTTCGTCGTATCCTTTCGTAACAATGGTTCCTTTTGTAACAATGGTTTGCGTCTTTGGCGTTGCAATGTTCCTGCATTCGAGGAGAAGCTAACGAAACAATCGATGCACCCGATTTCTAATTCAACCCTGGCCAACTAAATCGTCGAAACGAGTCGAATTTGACGAAGTTGAATCGTCCATGTAGATACCGATTCATTTTATTCGTGTTGTTTCTTTAGATTGATACCGTCTTATAAATAATCTTATAAATAATCTTTTTCAAGATTATCCGTTTCCATCGACGATGTTTGGATTTTTAATCGACGTCGATGTTACTGAAAGATCGTTCAGTGATCCAGGATTAAGCGGTCTTTACGAAGTGGCGGCCCGTAACCGAGCCGCGAGAAAATCGTTGGAAGAAGGAAGCAGGATGACCGTTCGCGACCGGAAACCCGTCGATAGATCCGTCGATAGATAGCCGAAGGAGAGGCTCGTTCGCCGGCCGGCTAGGGACCGCGAAAGCGTCGGTGGAGAGCGAAAAATGTGATAACCCGTGAGAATAAGTCTAAATTAATGAACGTAGGCTTGCAAGGGCGCCTGTATATCCTGTGTAGAGGTGCGCATTCGTACATTGTACGCGACATACAGCCACACACACACACGCGCGCACATATACAAATGGAAACACACACCTAAGAATCGTAAGAGAAAATTTTGTTGAAAGCGTCGCGCAGGACACGTCCAGTGTTTTTGTATGATACGTGTAGATAGCCGCACACAACGTAAGCGCGTACCATTGTACAATATTATATATGTTACAGAGAGTATATATATATATATATATATATATATATATATGAATATAAATATAAATATAAAGATAAATATAAATATGAATATAAGTATAAATATAAATAAAAATATAAATACAAATATAAATATAAATATAAATATGAACATAAATATAAATATAAATATAAATATAAATATATAAATAATTGGAGTCTTTAACGATACATTATGTTAGGTATATATATAATATATATATATATATATACATATATAATGCATGTAATATGTATAC